GCCCCCCACTCATGCCCTCACCCCCCTGGTGTCTGTGTCCATTGGTTAGGCCTATATGCTAGCATACAAGTCCTCTGGTTGATCGCTCCCCCTAACCCCCACCCTCCCCTACCTTCCCTCTGAGGTTTGACAGTCTGATGGATGCTTCTCTGTCTCTGGATCTGTTTTTGTTCATCAGTTTATGTTGTTCATCATATTCCATAAATTAGTGAGATCATGCGGTATTTATCTTTCTCCGACTGGCTTATTTCGCTTAGCATAATGCTCTCCAGTTCCATCCACGCTATTGCGAATGGTATATCCTTCCTTTTTACCGCAGCCTAGGATTCCATTGTGTAGATGTACCAGTTTTCTCACCCACTCATCTGCTGATGGGCACTCGGGCTGCTTCCAGACCTTAGCTTGGTGAGCTGTGCTGCTATGAACGGTGTCTTTTGTTATATCGATGAAGTGACCTTAGGGCCGCACCTGAGGACCAGCTGGTTGCCAGAACCAAGCACGTGATGGGAGGACTGGACCCCTCAGCCACCCCCACCCTGGGGAGGGGAGAGGGGCTTGAAGTTGAATCAGTGGCCAAAGAGTTTGTCAATCATGTCCGCGCAAGAGTCCCCGCTGAAGTCAAAAGGACAGGGCTTGGCCCGGACGGCGTGGCTCAGTGGTTGAGCGCCGACCTATGAACCAGGAGGTCACAGTTCGGTTCCCAGCCGAGGGCACAGGCCCGGGTTGTGGGCTCATCCCCAGTGGGGGGCGTGCAGGAGGCAGCCCATCCATGATCCTCTCATCGATGCTTCTCTCGCTCCCTCTCCCTTCCTCTCTGAAGTCAATCGAAACATCTCTTTCTTAAAGTCTGCTCCGAGAGCAGCAAGGCGCTGGCTGCGGCTGAGACGCTGTGTGCGCCCTTTGTCCTGAGAGGCACCTTCCAGGAAACTGACAGCTTGGCCGCGGCCCAGCCTCCTGCTCAGCGGGTGAGGCTGGACCCTGGCACCGAGGCAATGCTGCTGCAGCAGTTTCAGGGAGCATTTCCTCTGACCCTGTACACGATGCTCAGACCTCTCCCTCGGAAGGGATGCGCCGTGTCCTGAGACAGGCCTGCCCTCCGCAGCAGGGCTGGGCTGTCCCTGCAGCAGGAGGGGGTCCCGGACTCCTGGCCAGGACGCCGCGTGCCAGGTTCTGCTCTGGCCCCTGTGGACAGAGAGGGGCCACGTGCCAACCTGACTAACCCTCAGAGACCTAATTAACCACAAAGGATGGCCTGCAGTTAACATTTAATTAAAAAGCAGTCTATGGTGGGCAGTCACATCCCAGGCTGGCATCTTCCCTGACAAAAATCAACTGTGATCTTCACCGAGCCGGCTGTGTTTTTGCATCTATGGTAACAAAACTTTGGAATGTCTGGAAAACTTGCAACCTCCCTTTTTGGCTAGCGATGGCCTCATAAACCCTTTATTTTAAAAAGGGGAGTTTTAAAAATAAATAAATTAAAAGGGAGTTAACATTTTTTAACATCACCCATTAAAGTACAAGCCAGACAGGCACGTTACTTTGTGTAAATAGCTCCCGCGAAGAAAAAGCCTCGTAAGGGTTTATGGAGACAAACCAAAGACAACTGCCGGAGGCAGCACCCGGGGCCTGGGATGACGCGGAGACGGCCCTTCCGCTGCCTGTTCTGCACACAGAGGCCCAGGCTTCCTCCGGGATTACGTCCACGCCGCCCTCTGTGGGTGCTGGTCTCTGAGCTTGTGAGGCCCCCACGCAGGCCTCCCCTGAGCTCTCAGGTGTAGCAGGGGCCCCTCACCCACGGTATGCAAATACTTATGGTATCTTAAGTGAACACAGTTCATATTTCAACTGTGTGTGTTGGGGGGAGGGGCGGGAGTTTGCCTTTAGGTAGTAGAAGCAGCTGGAAGTTTCACTTTGTTATTTACTATTTTTTTTACGGCGACTATTAACTTGACAATCAGGAAAGACAAAAAAAAGTCCACTTGGACAGAAACCATTGGAAGGAAAACTAACTTATCCGCTTTAACTGCAATGTGCTCCCCCTGCGGGAACCTAGACTGTAATCTCTCCGGGAGGAGCCAGCGGAGTGACAGCCAGCGATGGGGCCCAGGAAAGGACCGGGAGCTCCCTGGAGCCGGCCAAGGAGCAGGGCTGGGCCCAAGCGGCACCCTGACAGCGGACTCTGGGAGGATGGGCAGGGCGTGGTTTCAAATCTAGGAAATCCCCATTTCTCAGCGACAAGCTCTGAGCCAGTGAACGGAACAGAACAGAACGGAAGGACTCTTTAGCCCCAGAGGGCAGGAGCGGGTGTGAGCCAAAGCGCTGGCGGGCGGGGGCAGGGCGGGTGGCTGCTTATGGACTTACAACCCGGGGAGTGGGGAGTGTCCAGGGGAAGGCCAAGGTTGCCTGGAGTCCTCAGGTGCCTGCAGAAAACGCGGGGTCGGCGGGCAGCATTTCACGCAGGGTTTCTCTGTAAGCGCCCCGCGGGGCAGGGGCCCGGCAGGCTCTGACCTCAGGCCAGGGAGGTGCCGCCTGGTCCAGGAAGGTGCCGGCGGTGCCCGCCGCGCTCCCGGGAGACCATGAGCCGCTTGGCCAAGCCCTGGCTTAGGAAGGGGCCATCTGGGGACAGCCAGTGACGCTCCCCAGGCCCCAGGCCCGCCCACCGCGGACAGGAGCTGCGAAGGACCCGCTCCCTCCCGGCGGGGACCGTGTGCCCTTTGACCTAGGACAGTCCAGTTTCTCTTGCGCCGCCAGTCCGTGCGCTGTGACCATCTGTCGCTGCGGGCTCCGCACCCACTGGGGTCCATTGGGCGCTGCGAAACCTTCTTGTCCAAAGTGCAGCTGCTCTCCCCGCAGGAAACGGGGAGTTCTCGGGGCTCCCGCGCCCCCTTCCGCCGGGTTTGGAAAGCGTGGCCTGGGGGTGGGAGGCTCTCTGCGGGGTGGGGGTGGGGGGGGTAACCCTGCTGATCCCGCCTCCAACAGGTGGAACCTGGCCGGGGACCCACACCCCGCTGTGCCCCGGGTTCGAGGACACGGGACAGGCCGCTGTGGGTGGACGCGAGGAAGCCCACCCTCCCGCGCGCCCCCCCCCCCGCGCGCCCCCTCCCTCGCATCCTTTCCGGGCGCCCTCTCTCTTCCTCCTGCAGCGCCTCCCGCCCGCGCCCCTCACATCCTCCCAGCAAACAGCCGAGGTCCTCCCGGGTCCGTCCGTGGCTCCCGGAAGCGGGGCCGGGCCGAGGACCACTCACCGCGGGAGCTGCTACCCTGGCCGCGCCACCTGCGCGCGCCGCCGGCGACACACACCTCGCGGGGCCCGAGGAACCGGGGTTCTGGGGCGGACACGCGGGGCCGGAGGCTGCGCGTCCGACTGGAACGGGGAGGTAACCCGGAGTAAAGGGAACTTGGGTTCCGAGCCCCGGTCCGCCCGCCCCCGGGCCGCGCCCCCGGCCTCCCCGCCCTTTCCGCCGATTGTTTACTCCCCGGAGCGCGCGGGCGGGGAACGCCCCGGGCCCTCCCCGCGCCGCCCCCGCCACCGACGGGACCTGCCGGGCGCTGTCCTCCCCGTCTGACGGCCGGACGCTTCGGGGGAGCCCGGTCCCCGCGGCCGCCGCCGGTGCGGGAGTGCAGGTCGGACGGGGACGCCCCGCCCCGGCGGGGAGGACGAATGCGGAGCGGACCCAGCGGGTCGGGAACGGGGGCTGGGCCACGTCCCTGCGCCCAGCGGGTCGCCCCGGCCTCGTACCCCGTCGGGGACCTTCCCAGCCGGGAGCCGCGGGCGCAGGGGGAGGAAGTGACCATCCGCTCAGCCACCGGCCGAGGCGCGGAGCTGCCGGTCGGACCGCGCGGCCACCTGCGGCCAATACCCTCCCGAGGGCGCGCGGGGCGGGGGGCGCCCTGCCTGCTGCTGGGGGAAGGGGGGGGGGGCGAGGGGGCAGCGGGGGAGGAACTTCCATCTCCAGGAGCCGGGAAATCTAACGCGGAAGACTGGCTTGTCAAGTGACAACTCGGTCCTTGCGGCCCTGGCCGGTTTGGCCCCGTGGAGAGAGCATCGGACTGAGGGTTCGATTCGGGTCAGGACACGGCCCGGCGCGGACTCCGATCCCCAGGAGGGGGCGTGCAGGAGGCAGCGCATCAATGATGCTCTCTCATCATTGATGTTTCTGTCTCTCCCTCTCCCCTCCTGTCTCTAAAAAAAAAAATCAATATAAACATGTTTTTCAAAAAAGCACCTATGTAAACTTTATGTCCCCACCATATGGGTTTGAGGTTGACTATTATTTAAAAAAAACAGTTGTGCCCTAACCGGTGTGGCTCAGTGGATAGAGCGCCGGGCTGCGGACTCAAGGGTCCCAGGTTCGATACGGTCAAGGGCATGTACCTTGGTTTCGGGCACATCCAGGTGGGGGGTGTGCAGGAGGCAGCTGATCAATGTTTCTAATTCTCTGTCCCTCTCCCTTCCTCTCTGTAAAAAATCAGTAAAATATATTTTTAAAAAACAGTTGTAAGTTACTGATCTCTGTTCCCCAGTATTTTTCTTAGGGTGGGGATGTTTGAGAATGAGGTTGGAACTGAGGGAGAGGAAGGAGGAGGAGAGGAAGAAAAGAAGGAAAATAAATCTATTAAAATGCTACATTCCTCCTATTCAATCGCATACATTCCCCAGTGACGTCGGTTTGACCAAACAATATAGACGCGTGAGCTCACTTAATATCGCAGTGAAAAAACTAATTGGCAACTTCTCATCAGGTGAGCTGGGGCATGATGCATTACTCCAGGAACGAAGCTAAAATGTTGGTGACCTTATTTGTCTCTGGCACTCTTTCATTAGAAAACGACTATTTTACGAGTGAGTGAAATGTACAAAATGTGAAAACTGCTCATTGCATACAAACAGTAACAACATTTATAAAACAAGAGAAGCCAGACTACTAAAGAATTTTTGCGAAGACTACTAAGTTAAACACTGAAATTAAAGACATTTTTACTTGAAGGACAAAATATATGTTTAATCGTATAGATCCCAGTTTATTGAAAACTTAGCAAACATTTAAAACTTGCAAATGCTCCAGTGCTTCTACATTAAAGGTTTAAAACTTTGAGGTCTAATAAGTTAATCCTTTTCTCGATATAAAGTACATCCCAATATTCTGGAATTAATTTTTTAACAGAAAAATGACTTCTGCAGAGATTACAGGGCCCCATCAAGGGAGAGTCTGTGAGTTTCTTCTAGCTAAAGTCTGAACAACAGCCTTCAATGAAAATGTCACCACCAGGGGGACCCACGTCGGGGTGATGCCAGCTGGTGATGGGGAGGAAGTGGGTCCCCGATGCTGGGCCTTCCCGGGTGGGGGAGGCATGGCGCCCCAAAGGCCCCTCCTTAGCACCCCAGAGAAATGCACGGAGCAAACCGCCCCCCCTCGCGCCGCCTGCACCACAGTGACGTCAAACCTGTTTTAACACAATTATTTCATGAGAATCTATATTGGTAACGCAGAGCAGGAGCCTTATAAGCACGGCCGAGACATGGTCGGCTCATATCTAGCCATCGGAGTCCCAACGTGATGCTCCCACATCCTGGGCTCGGTTACTTGGGCTCAGTGGGCGTCCCTGTGGCCTGAGCGGAGCCTGGACCTGCAATGCAGAGCGCAGCCGTGAGCGGACGGGAAGTGGAACAGTGTGGCCGATAATTTTAAATAAAGGAAAGCCAGCACAGCCGGGGGAGGGGCTCAGTTGAGCGCCGACCTATGAGCCAGGAGGTCAGGGTTCGATTCCCATTCAGAGCACACGCCCGCCCGGACTACGGGCTTGATCCCCGGTCGGGGTTGTGCAGGAGGCAGCTGACCCATGATTCTCTCTCATCGTTGATGTTTCCCCTCTCTCTCTCCCTCTCCCTTCCACTTTGACATCAATAAAAAAAAAAAATTTTTTTTTAAAGAAAGTGTATAAGCTTATACGATGTTAAACGATAGTTCTTGGCGAGGTTACATGTCTGGTCAGTGATGAAGTAATTCTATACGTGAAACTGCACCAAAACGATGCTAAAATCCTGACTGTCCCTGCAGGCGAGGCCCTGGGCCCTGGCCTCTCCATTATCGCCGCCCTCGCGCCTCACTGGTGTGGGACGCAGCGCACGTCTCTGAACTGCACTGTGTGTTATTTGTGTTATTTGTGCATAAAAACAAAGCTACAGGTTCTTGTGATAATAGTGTATGTGCTTCTTCTCTCGCCGCCCCCAAGCCCTGGGTCTAGGACTCGGCTGTTCGGCCAACGTCGCCCTTGGAGTGCGTGCAGGTTGGGGAGGGACGTCCAGGGCGGCTGGGCGGCCTCGGCTGCAGGTTGAAGAACTTCCTTGATGTTTGTGTCCAGCCTCTTTTGTGTTTCGATGCAAATACCGTTCTAAAAACACTCACTTGATGGAGAAGACTCTGGAATAAAGAACAAGCACGTTCGTTGTTCAATGTCATGAAGCAGAACACGTTTTAAAAGAATTAGTGCTTCTAGTAACGACTTGAAAAAACTCCCAAAAGGCTGCGTTACTGACAACGGTACATCACAGGACACAACGGCCACGGTAAAGCTCAAAAGTGCACTTCTGACAGCAGCTGGTGGGAACCGCTCACGTATCGGCCGGACAGTGGGGGGAGGGTGTGCGGGCAACAGAACTGGCCGGCCACCTGGGGTCCCGTGGGGCTGCGTGGGGCCAGGGCCCGGTGGGCACCAGGACAACACCCCTTCCTCCGGGGCAGCCCCGGGCCCGGGCCGGCTGGGTGCACCTCACCTTGAGCCTCCGCAGAGCCTTCCGGAGCCTCCGGGTCTGAGAGCTGCTCAGCATCCTGCCCCTCAAGGTCCTTCGGGGACTTGGGCGCTGGGGGCGCTGGGGACGGCTGTGGGGTGCTCTTGTCCGCGTCGGCTCGCTGCTGCAGCCACTCATCCCTGTAGCCGTTGCTGATGAGTTTGGAGAAGTTGGTGGGGGAACTGGTTTTGTGACCAGGCCTGAGAACGAGAGAAGAAATCAACGACAAGCAGAAGTACCAAGGTTAATGGTAATTCTGAGTTCTCAGCAAACATCCTGACAATAAATTAGATGCTTATTGTTCCTTAAAACATCACGGACACTCTCTCTCTCTCTCTCTCTCTCTCTCTCTCTCTCTCTCTCTCTGAAGAATTAGACAACTGACCCATTAATTGCAGCACCATTTGAGGCGAGTGAAGAGACGCCTCCTGCTGAGAGGGGAACGGAGCAGCCGGCAGCAGGCAGCAGGCCAGGCGCTGGGAAGTTGCAACCTCAGAGCCATATTCCACACGTGGCGGGAACCGCTGTCCTCAGGCCCACGTGAGCCAGCGTGTGGCTGCCTCTTGGTCACTGGTCACGTGGACCCAAGACCAAACCCCACCGAGCCCGCCAGCGTGGGAGCCCCAGCACTTACATGGGGGGGAAGGAGAGCCTACGTCCTGCAGGATCTCGGGGGCCCAGCGGGGGCCCCGCTTTGCTGGGGGACCTGGAGTGAATGGCGGGGAGCCTCACCTGGGAGAGAAACGCACAAACCCTGGTTCAGTGAAAAGCGCTCAGCAGCCAGCGCCGAGAAGGCGGCTCGCAGCCAGCACAGCGCGCGTCTCTCCCTCTCTCTCTCTCTCTCTCTCTCTCACACACACGCACACACACGCACACACACGCACATGCACGCACGCGCACGCACGCACACACGCACACACACACGCACACACACGCACGCGCACACACACGCACGCGCACACACACACACACACGCACGCACACGCACACACACGCACACACACGCACACACAGGAGCCACGGTGCCACACAGTGCAGCAACCCTGTCAACACCGCGGTGAGGAGACCACGGCGTTGCGTTCACAGCACCGCTGCTCCAGCAAAGACGCCCCGACTGAGGAGGGAGGCAGAGCAGCTCAGGCGGGAAATACCGGGGGAGGGCAGGGTCCCCGCTCAGCCCCAGCTGGGGTCCGGGGTCTCCCTGAGCCGTTGACAGGGAGCCAGAGTGGACAGGGCTGAAGGTGGGCTCCTTGCCGTCCAGCCAGGGCAGAGAGGGACCTGCTGGTGCGTCACTCGGCACAGCCCCGCCACCAGGCACCCAGCGTGTGTGTCTGAGGTAGCGGGCTTGCTGCAGCCCAAGAACTCCGGGGGGCACAGAGGAGGGAAGGGGGGACTGTGGTGACCTGGAAGGCACAAGCTGAGGAGGAGGAGGTCCTGGCGGAGCGGAGGTGGGCACGGACCGAGGAGAGTGGGGCTGATGTTCAGAAATAGAACCAGGGACCCGGCAAGTGACAGGCACGAGGGGTGATGGGAAGGTTACTCCCGAAATAAAAGCTGGGGCGTGCTGGGAAGAAGGACGGATGCTGGGGGTGGGGGGAGGGGAGCTGTGAAACTTTTAGTCCAAGTCCCAGGGAAAGACTGTGACCAGGGGTCAGACAGAGATTTCATAGATATAAAGTCATAAATGAAACAAACAGATGAATCAGACTTTATCCAGACCAAGAACTTCTGTTCTCCCGGAGACAGTGTGAAGAGAAGAAGGAAGGAAGAGGCAAGCCACCGACGGGGACCAGATGCAGGTCGGGCTCCGGTCCAGGGAAGGGTCTCCAGGCGACACCAGGGACTCTCCAGCCGCCAGAGAGCAGGCTTGATTTAAAACGGCCACACCGGCCGGCGGAGCTCAGCAGTTGAGCATCGACCTATGAGCCAGGAGGTCACGGGTAGATTCCTGGTCAGGGCACAGGCCGGGGTTGCGGGCTCAATCCCCAGTGGGGGCCCGTGCAGGAGGCAGCCGATCCATGATTCTCTCTCATCATTGATGTTTCCATCTCTCTCTCCCTTCCTCTCTGAAATCAATTTTTTAAAAATATTAATTAATTAATTAAAATTAAAATGGGCGAGATTAGGACAGATGCTTTACCGACGAAGATGCTGGGGGTGGGGGAGCACATGAAAAGATGCGTGACGCATCACCAGCCCCGGGAGATGCCGTTTAAGCCACCACGGGAGGCACCTGCCAGAACGGCTCAAACCTGACAAGGACAAGGGCGTGAGGGCGTGGAGCACCCAGCTGCCCTGTGCTGTGGGGAGCAGGGCCAGAACATGATGCGGCCACAGTGCAGGCGACTTCTCATGAAGGTCAACATGCCCGTGCCATGACCCAGCTGGTCAGCGTTTATCCGACGGACGTGCAGTGAAAACCTGCCTCCTACATGGCCTGCCCGCGTCCACACGGCCTGTGTGCCCATACAACCTGCCCGCGTCCACACGGCCTGCCTGTCCATACAACCTGCCCACGTCCACACAGCCTGTCTGCATCCACACGGCCTGCCCTCGTCCACACGGCCTGCCTGTCCATACAACCTGCCCGCGTCCACACGGCCTGTCTGCATCCACACGGCCTGCCCACGTCCACACGGCCTGCCTGTCCATACAACCTGCCCGCGTCCACACGGCCTGCCTGTCCATACAACCTGCCCACGTCCACACAGCCTGTCTGCATCCAGACGGCCTGCCCACGTCCACATGGCCTGCCCTCATCCACACGGCCTGCCCTCAGCCACACGGCCTGCCCATGTCCACACGGCCTGCCCGCGTCCACACGGCCTGTCTGCAAGGGTTGGCAATGGCTTCATGACCGTCACCAAGATGAGAAACAAGCGAAGGGTAAGACAAGCCATGAGCGACCAGGGGTCTGCACACCACACCTGGCTCTCGCTGCCTGTGCCGCGGGGAAGCCAGGTCGGGCCCCAGGGGTGCCGGCTACCAGGCTGCCTTCCCAGGAGGAAGGGGTGATGCGGGAATGCGAGGGCTGGGCGGCCCGCTGCCTCTCAGGAGACCCCAGTTTAAAGTTCAGAGCCTGTGGTTCACGGACAACAGGAGACGCACCAGCACCAGCGGCAACACCCCCCTTCAGGGGCCACAGCCCGGCCGCGAGGCCTCTGTGCGGGCGCATCACCTTCCTCTTCGTATCCAGCTCCTCAGCCTCTCTCTGCCAGATGGTCTTCACGTCAAAGTCGAAGGGCCCCCTTCGGGACTCGTAATTCCCGTTGGCCAGGTCGGGGCTAAACTCTTTGTGAACCATGTAGTCGGGCATGTAGGCAGCCAGCCTCCTGCAGAGACCCAGGGAGACCCCGTCAGCTGCCCGCTGCTTCCTCACCTCCCCCCTTACCATTTACCTCCCCTCCACCCTCCCCTTCCAGTCCCCCTCCATCTCCTCTGGCCGACTTCCCCTCCACTTCCCCTCCCCTTCCAGTTCCCCTCCACCTCCTCTGGCCGACTTCCCCTCCACTTCCCTCCCCTTCCAGTTCCCCTCCACCTCCTCTGGCCACCCTCCCCTCCACTTCCCTCCCCTTCCAGTTCCCCTCCATCTCCTCTGGCCGACTTCCCCTCCACTTCCCTACCCCTTCCAGTTCCCCTCCACCTCCTCTGGCCACCTTCCCCTCCACTTCCCCTCCCCTTCCAGTCCCCCTCCATCTCCTCTGGCCGACTTCCCCTCCACTTCCCCTCCCCTTCCAGTTCCCCTCCACCTCCTCTGGCCACCCTCCCCTCCACTTCCCTCCCCTTCCAGTTCCCCTCCACCTCCTCTGGCCACCTTCCCCTCCACTTCCCCTCCCCTTCCAGTTCCCCTCCACCTCCTCTGGCCACCTTCCCCTCCACTTCCCTCCCCTTCCAGTTCCCCTCCACCTCCTCTGGCCACCTTCCCCTCCACTTCCCTCCCCTTCCAGTTCCCCTCCACCTCCTCTGGCCACCCTCCCCTCCACTTCCCTCCCCTTCCAGTTCCCCTCCATCTCCTCTGGCCGACTTCCCCTCCACTTCCCCTCCCCTTCCAGTCCCCCTCCATCTCCTCTGGCCGACTTCCCCTCCACTTCCCCTCCCCTTCCAGTCCCCCTCCATCTCCTCTGGCCGACTTCCCCTCCACTTCCCCTCCCCTTCCAGTTCCCCTCCATCTCCTCTGGCCGACTTCCCCTCCACTTCCCCTCCCCTTCCAGTCCCCTCCATCTCCTCTGGCCGACCCCCTCCACTTCCCTCCCCTTCCAGTCCCCCTCCATCTCCTCTGGCCGACTTCCCCTCCACTTCCCCTCCCCTTCCAGTCCCCCTCCATCTCCTCTGGCCGACTTCCCTCCACTTCCCCTCCCCTTCCAGTCCCCCTCCATCTCCTCTGGCCGACTTCCCCTCCACTTCCCTCCCCTTCCAGTCCCCCTCCATCTCCTCTGGCCGACTTCCCCTCCACTTCCCCTCCCCTTCCAGTCCCTCCATCTCCGCTGGCCGACTTCCCCTCCACTTCCCTCCCCTTCCAGTCCCCCTCCATCGCCTCTGGCCGACTTCCCCTCCACTTCCCCTCCCCTTCCAGGTCCACTCATCTCCTCTGGCCAACTTCCCCTCCACTCCCCTCCCCTCCCCCTCCATCTCCTCTGGCCGACTTCCCCCTCCACTCTCTCCCTCCCCTTCCAGTTCCCCTCCACCTCCTCTGGCCACCTTCCCCTCCACTTCCCTCCCCTTCCAGTTCCCCTCCATCTCCTCTGGCCCCCTTCCCCTCCACGTCCCTCCCTTCCAGTTCCCCTCCACCTCCTCTGGCCCCCTTCCCCCCACTTCCCCTCCCCTTCCAGTTCCCCTCCACTCCGCTGGCCACCTTCCCCTCCACTTCCCCTCCCCTTCCAGTCCCCCTCCATCTCCTCTGGCCGACTTCCCCTCCACTTCCCCTCCCCTTCCAGTACCCCTCCCACCTCCTCTGGCCACCTTCCCCTCCACTTCCCCTCCCCTTCCAGTTCCCCTCACCTCCTTACCACTTCCCCTCCACTCCCCCCTTCCAGTTCACTCCATCTCTCTAGGCCACCTTCCCTCCACTTCCCCCCATTCAGTATCCCCTCCCCCTCCTCTGGCCACCCTCCCCCCACTTCCTCCCCTTCCAGTACCCCTCCCTCTCTCTGGCCGCCTTCCCCTCACTTCCCCCTCCCCTTCCAGTTTCCCCTCCACTTCCTTGGCCGACTTCCCCTCCACTTCCCTCCCCTTCCAGTTCCCCTCCACCTCCTCTGGCCACCTTCCCCTCCACTTCCCTCCCCTTCCAGTTCCCCTCCACCTCCTCTCTCCACTTCCCCCTCCACTTCCCTCCCCTCCAGTTCCCCCCACCTCCTCTGGCCACTCCCCCTCCACTTCCCCCCCTCCCAGTTCCCCTCCCTCCTCTGGCCGACTCCCCTCCACTTCCCTCCCCTCCCCTCCTCCTCCACCTCCTCTCTCCACTCCCCCTCCCTCCCCCTTTCCCCCCCTCCTCTTCCCCTCCATCCCTCTGCCATTCCCCTCCACTCCCCCCCCTCCCCTTCCCCTCCCCCCTCTCGCCACCCTCCCCTCCACTCCCTCCCCCTTCCAGTTCCCCTCCACCTCCTCTGGCCACCCTCCCCTACCACTCCCCTCCCCTTCCAGCTCCCTCCACCTCCATCTCCATCTCCTCTGGCCACCCTCCCCTCCACTTCCCTTCCCCTTCCAGTTCCCCTCCACCTCACTCGGGACCGACTTCCCCTCCACGTTACCCTCCCACTTCCAGTTCCCCTCCACCTCCTCTGGCCACCCTTCCCCTCCACTTCCCCCTCCCCTTCCAGTCCCCCTCCATCTCCTCTGGCCGACTTCCCCTCCACTTCCCCTCCCCTTCCACCTTCCACCATCCACCTCCTCTGGCCACCCTCCCCTCCACGTTCCCTCCCCTCCCAGTTCCCCATCCACCTCCTCTGGCCACCGCCATCCACTTCCCTCCCCTTCAGTCCCCCACCATCTCCTCTTCCACCTTCCCCTCCACTTCGCCCTCCCCTACAGCCTCCGCCTGGCCCACCCTCCCCTCCACGTCCCTCCCCTTCCAGTCCCCCTACCACCCCCTCTGGCGACTTCCCCTCCACTTCCCCTCCCCTTCCAGTTCCCCTCCACCTCCTCTGGCCGACTTCCCATCCACTTCCCTCCCCTTGCCAGTTCCCCCTCCACCGCCTCTGGCCGACTTCCCCCCTCCACTTCCCTCCCCTTCCAGTTCCCCTCCACCTCCTCTGGCCGACTTCCCCTCCACTTCCCTCCCCCTTCCCCTCCAGCCCTCCCCTCCATCTCCTCTGCGCCACTTCCCCTCCACTCTCCCTCCCACTCCCCCTCCCCCACCCCCTTCATCTGCCCCTCCCCCTCCATCTCCTCTGGCCAACTTCCCCTCCACTTCCCCTCCCCCTCCCCCTCCAGCTCCTCCACCACCTCCTCTCTCCACTTCCCCCTCCCCCACCCCCTCCATCTGCCCCTCCACTTCCATCTGCCCCTCCCCCTCCATCTCCTCTGGCCAACTTCCCCTCCACTTCCCCTCCCCCTCGCCCCTCCAACTCCTCCACCACCTCCTCTCTCCACTTCCCCCTCTATCTCCCCCTCCCCCACCCCCTCTACCTCCCCTCTCCCACCCCCTCCATCTGCCCCTCCCCCTCCATCTGCCCCTCCACTTCCATCTGCCCCTCCCCCCTCCATCTGCCCCACCCCCCCCTCTATCTCTCCCCCTCCCCCTCCATCTTCCTCTGCCTGTCTTCAGGTAGCACCACCCTTTCTCCTTTCCTGGGGCCTCCAGCCCTTCCCTCCAGGTTCTGAGAATGAACGCATCGCCCTTCTCCAGGGCCTGCTTCCCAGAATCCTGAGGTGAAGCCAGAAATCACAGGTGTTTTTTAAAAATCAGTTCAACTCCCTTCTCCTGTGAGGACGAAGGACTCACCGCCTCTGGCTGGCCGCGGGCGGCTGGCTGTGGTGGACGTACCAGTCGGGCAGGGAGTAGGCGGCAGGCGTACCCTTCCTGGAGCCGGGGGCCAGGTGCATCAGCAGATCTCAAAGCAAAGGGGCAGGTGAGCGGCTCCGCCCCCGGGCACGCCCACGGCCAGTGGGCACAGGGTTCAGGGCTGCCGACCTCCGGGTTGGCTCTGGGCTCCAGGGCTATAGGAACCAGGTGGCCCTGGTCCTCAGCCCCCTGTGCACATGCTGAGGGCAGGGCATCCTGCCTGGTGTTGAGGAGGGACATCCCATGCTCGCCCATCCCCCCCACCCCCATCCCCCCACGCCACCCCCGCCTAAGCAGGCATCTGCGGCCTCCAGCACCCACCCCTGTCCGCGGGTGGGTGGTCGCTTCAGGCTGACATCTGAGGGGGCAGAACTCCTCAGGTCTCGCCCTGCAGTCTGGGGCAGTCTGGTCTCCTCTGCCTCTGAGGGGCTGTCCCTGACCCCACAGCAGTTTAGGGAGAAGTCGTCCTGGCTAGCGCCACCCGCCTGCCTCCTCTCTGGTTGCTCTGGCCTTCACTGCCCGTCCTCCCCATGCCCACCCAAGGGCTTTGCAGGGCGGGGGGGGGGGGGGGGGGGGAGGGGGTGGTTGAGGGTCGGTTTCAGCAGCAAAGGGAAGGTAGGAACAGGGGAACAATGGCGGCAGCCAACACGACTGCCTTCTTACTCTCAGTAAGAGAAGTTTAACTTTCAATTTTTAAACATTTCTGATGCTGAGAATAGCTGCAAGAACAGGACCAATTCTGCTGCAGGATTCAGCCAGATCCCAGGCTCAGCTTCATCCTCCCATCGGCGGCCTCCTCCCCTCTGCTCTGTCCCTATCACCACCTCCGCCGGCACCCCCGCCGGCACCCCCGCCGGCACCCCCGCTGGCACCTCCGCCGGCACCCCCGCTGGCACCCCCGCCTGCACCCCCACCGGCACCCCGCCGGCACCCCCGCCGGCACCCCGCTCTCTAGCTCATCTCTGTCTGTCCCCCGCTAGTCCTCTCACCGCCATCGCTGGAGGTTAAGGCGGACACATCGCTAATCAGATTTGCCGGCTGACCCCTCCTGTCCTCGAACCCCGGCCGGAGCGGGCGGCCTGCGCTGGGTGCTTCATGTGGATGAGCCTGAGGGCTTGCTCTGGCCCTTTAACATCGCAGCCAGATGCTGTCATTTTGGTTTTCATTCCCCATGACAACCTCTGAGCCAGTGGTTCTCAGCCTTCCTTATGCCGTGACCCTTTAATCCAGTTCCTCATGTGGTGGTGGCCCCCAATGTCATTGTTACACATTGAACATAATTAAAGCATAGTGATTAATCACAGAAACAATATGTAATTATATATGTGTTTTCTGATGGTCTTAGGCGACCCCTGTGAAAGGGTCGTTCGACCCCCAAAGGGGTCGCGACCCACAGGTTGAGAATCGCTGTTCGGGGGGGGGGTCAAGGCAGCCAGAAAACAATGGTCAGCACCCTCAGTGCCCCCTGTGAAGAGGGCAGCGTGGGGCGTTGTGGGCAGCCTCCTTCTCCTGGTCAGCCAGGCGGTGCCCTCTCCTCAAACCACAGCTGGGCTCACCGGGTACCACTGCTCAGGACCCATGAGGCTCAGGACAAGAGCAACCACAGGGACAGGCACCTCGCAGGCCGGTCCGCAAGGCCGGTGAGCTCTGCCTGGGAGCAGCTCCCTGAGGCTCTGCCGTGAGACCCAGAGATGAGAATGACGGCAAAGGTGGGAGCAAGTCCCCCAGGGCCAACTCCGGGTCCCGTCTATGGAGCCCAACTTCTCATAGAGGCAGCCCATCGCTGGGGAGAGACCACCCCCACCTGCCCCATAACCTTCATCACCAACAGCCTGACACCCCTACCTGCCCCATAACCTCCATCTCCAATGGCCTGACACCCCCACCTGCCCCATAACCTCCATCTCCAAGGGCCTGACACCCCCACCTGCCCCATAACCTCATCTCCAACAGCCTGACACCCCCACCTGCCCCATAACCTCCATCTCCAAGGGCCTGACACCCCCACCTGCCCCATAACCTCATCACCAACAGCCTGACACCCCCACCTGCCCCATAACCTCCATCTCCAATGGCCTGACACCCCCACCTGCCCCATAACCTCATCTCCAACAGCCTGACACCCCCACCTGCCCCATAACCTCCATCTCCAATGGCCTGACACCCCCACCTGCCCCATAACCTCATCACCAACAGCCTGACACCCCCACCTGCCCCATAACCTCCATCACCAAGGGCCTGACACCCCCACCTGCCCCATAACCTCATCACCAACAGCCTGACACCCCCACCTACCCCATAACCTCCATCTCCAATGGCCTGACACCCCCACCTGCCCCATAACCTCATCTCCAACAGCCTGACACCCCCACCTGCCCCATAACCTCCATCTCCAAGGGCCTGACACCCCCACCTGCCCCATAACCTCATCTCCAACAGCCTGACACCCCCTACCTGCCCCATAACCTCCATCTCCAAGGGCCTGACACCCCCACCTGCCCCATAACCTCCATCACCAAGGGCCTGACACCCCCACCTGCCCCATAACCTCCATCACCAAGGGCCTGACACCCCCACCTGCCCCATAACCTCATCTCCAAGGGCCTGACGCCCCCACCTACCCCATAACCTCCATCTCCAACGGCCTGACACCCCCTACCTGCCCCATAACCTCCATCTCCAAGGGCCTGACACCCCCACCTGCCCCATAACCTCCATCACCAAGGGCCTGACACCCCCACCTGCCCCATAACCTCCATCACCAAGGGCCTGACCCCCCCACCTTCCCCATAACCTCCATCACCAAGGGCCTGACACCCCCACCTGCCCCATAACCTCCATCACCAAGGGCCTGACACCCCCACCTGCCCCATAACCTCATCTCCAAGGGCCTGACGCCCCCACCTACCCCATAACCTCCATCTCCAACAGCCTGACACCCCCTACCTGCCCCATAACCTCCATCACCAAGGGCCTGACACCCCCACCTGCCCCATAACCTCCATCACCAAGGGCCTGACACCCCCACCTGCCCCATAACCTCATCTCCAAGGGCCTGACGCCCCCACCTACCCCATAACCTCCATCTCCAACAGCCTGACACCCCCTACCTGCCCCATAACCTCCATCTCCAAGGGCCTGACACCCCCACCTGCCCCATAACCTCCATCACCAAGGGCCTGACACCCCCACCTGCCCCATAACCTCCATCACCAAGGGCCTGACACCCCCACCTGCCCCATAACCTCATCTCTAACAGCCTGACACCCCCACCAGCTTCAGTCAGGGAGACTTTCATAGGAAGGGATGATGGCGATGGCCCACCGCTGTCCCCCAGGACAGAGACCGAGCGCTGGGTGCTTACCAGGCCGGCCGCCTTGCTTGGCCAACTTCACATACTCTGAGTCCGTGTCTTTGACCCAGTACCTCCGAGTCCCCAGCAGGTGTCCGCTGGGGGTGTCCCGGAGCTCGCTGAGGCCTGGGATCTGGGACATGGGCGGGGCGTCCACAGCCTTCTCCGATCGCTTCACGGGGAGGTGGTAATACCAGTCTAGGGAGAGGAGGCGGCCAAGGTTGGGTCATTGCAGTGAGGTTCGGGTAGGTGTGGCCCGCTGCCTGGGAGAATGCTGTGCCGGGAAGGGTCGCATTGTCCCTGGGACCACGGGACGCACATGCTGGGGAGGTGAGACTGACACTCAGATCTGCAGACTCTGAGAAAGGCAGGTCGCCCTCCACATTGTGGGTGGGCTGCACCTAATCAGTTCAAGGACAAGGACGTAGGAGAAAAGACCGAGGTCCCAGGGGGAGGAATTCAGCCTCCAGCTCCCTTCAGACCCAGGACTACAGCACCAGCTCTGCAGGGCCCAGGCGACTGCCCACCCTGCAGGTATCGGACCTGCCTGCTTCACAACTGTGTAAGCCCGTTCTTAACCTCTCTCCCTCTCTGTCTCTCTCTCTCTCTAACATTCTGTTGATTTTGTGGCTCACTGCATGCAAGTGAATATTGAACACGGAAGTCTTGCCGATTGCCGGGGGGCAGTGATTAGCTGCATCGCCACTGCCGCTGCGAAAAGGAGGGAACCCCACTGGGGAAGGTGTAAGGAGGGGTAGAACACTCCCTGAGAATCACACTAAGAATCGCGAGTTTAGGAGCTTCATACGCACGCAGCTCGCATTCCGGTTGAATCGTTTCTCTCTCAGAGGGAAGGCACGCACGTCTCGCTCCCTTTTCCCTTTCTGTCTTGATGACTAATTAATCCACAGGGAACACAGAGCCTCATTCTTCTCATTACTGGAAGCTTTGGGTCCGCCATTATAACCGGGTGCAAAGGAGCTCAGAGAGCCAGGGCCCTGCCCACTGAGCCCCACGGTCACCACCACACACACAACCGAAGGGGACAAGAATCATCTTGCAGCTTCTGTCGCTCAAAGGTGATGAGTCCTTGCATGGCCCCAGGTCACTGACTCTGGTGTGGGTTTCTATGACCGCCCTCCTCTGTCAGCCAGGAGACAGCTGAAGGAGAAGGACCGCGAGGACCCAGCCGGCAGCTCTCCCGTCTCCAAGCACAGAGCTGCATGGCACAGCCACACCCCACAGGGACTCCCAGAGACACCGCTCCCCTTGTTTTGGCCGCCGAGGCCTCAGGGAACAGGGGTCCAGCTGGGCAGAGGGGCCACCTGTGAGGGGTGCGACCTCCGGCAGCATCCTCGGACCCTGTGCCTCAGCTTCCTCACCTATAACCAGGGTTTAATGATACCTCGTCGTGCTGTTTTGAGGTTAAATGTTAGTGTATAAAAGTGCTTATTTCAGGGCTTCTTCATACAGGGAGGCCGCTCACTGAGGCCCCAGAGGCCACACATAGGCTGAGAGCCTGTGGCAGAGAAGGGGAAACCACCATGCTTCCTGTCCCCCTGTCCCTCTCTCCCCCAGTGGTCACAGTTAGAGCTCAGACTGGAAGGGTTGCTAGATCACATGAAGGCCAAGCTCTGTCCCTCTTGAGCCTGCCGGCTGCCCCACCCTGCCGCTGGCCGCCAGCTCCTGGGTCGCCTCCACCCCCTCTCCAGACCTTCCCAGGATGGGGAGCAACCGAACAAAGGCAAAAACAGCCCTCATCACCAGGCCTCCGCCTTCTCCCCGCCCAGCTTCAAACCCTGCTAAGCGCAAAGCCACACCACCTCCAGGGGACCCTGGTTTCTGTGTCCAGACACTTAAGCAGGGGACAAAGTTAACTCGGTTTTCTGTTTCCTTTTGTTTCTGAAAATGGGGGGAAAGGACTATCCCGCCCCCGCCCCCCACATTTCCCTTTCAGCCTTGCTGTGACACCGGGGCACAGGAGCATACATTGTGCCCCTTTCTTTGGGGGTATCACGTGTTGGTCTGTCCACAGGCACGCGGGACGCTGGGCGCGGAGCTGTCCAGCAGCAGAGGCTGCGGGGCTCCTTGGGCTGGGCACTCACCGCAGGGAGCGTAGCGGCCGCTGGCGCCAGGCAGCTCCTTGCTGGCGTTCCTCATGCCGGGAGACACGCGGGGTCGGTGTTCGCGATGAGCCGGGAAGCAGGGAATCCGGAGACACTCCTGGCAGGTGTTCGCGATGAGCCGGGAAGCAGGGCACCGCGCCGGGCTGAGCTCTTGCAGAGGCCAGGTCCGCACCCCGCTCTGCCTGTCCGTCCGCCTCCACCTGACCCAAATGCAGACGTGTCATCACTCGGGCAGGGCGTGCACGTCCCAACAGGCGTACAGCAGAGGACAGCGGGTTCCCAGGTGACCCCCTCCCCGTCCAGACCCCTGGCTGCCCGCCCCGCTCACCTGCTCGCCGAGGGTCTGGTGGGCACCTCCCGCGGCGCCAGAGGCCAAAGTCTCCCCGGCGGGCGGCGGGGCCAATCACCAACTCCCTGCGCGGCGCGCAACCACAACAACTCGCGTCGCCCGGGCAACGGCCGGGTGGCCAACCGGCGGGCGCGGCTGGAGTTCCGACAGCCAATCGGGGCAGCCTGTGGGGCCGCAGCAGGCCAATGAGGGACAGGGGCGGAGCGCGGACCCTGCCAGTCAACCGCCCGGGACCCGAGTGGGTGGGGCCGCGAAGGGGGCGGGGCCGGTCTCCGCGTCCTCCCCCCCCCACCTGCCCCACCCCGAGTTTCCCCAAAGCGGTCCCCGAAAACGCTCGTTTACTTAGTGCACTTAAAGAAGAGGACGAATACAGACCCTCAGCATCAGACTGTGCACCAGCCGTAACCTTATCCTGGACGCGCCTTTTCTCGAACCTGGATTTTTCAGGACTCTTTCTGTGAGTTGAGAAAGTTTGGCAGGACTGGACTTGGGGTCCGCACAGGTGGAGGGCGGGGCATGCCGCCTGCTCCCCGGACTGGGGGCCCGCACAGGTGGAGGGCGGGGCATGCCGCCTGCTCCCCGGACTGGGGGTCCGCACAGGTGGAGGGCGGGGCATGCCGCCTGCTCCCGGGGCTGGGTGTCCGCACAGGTGGAGGGCGGGGCATGCCGCCTGCCCCCGGGCTGGGGGTCTGCACAGGGCTCAGGGTGTCTGAGCGGCCGCCAGGCCCCTGCGGTTTTGTTCCTGGAGAGCTAGCTCCCTGCCGCCCCGGATGGACACTGAGCGAGGACCAGGGTTGGCCTGCTGTGGCCAGACCAGGGGAGCTATGGGAGCTGTGGGAGGAGCACGGAGCTTTGGTCGTGCTGAAAATGTTTCTGAAATCAACACATGTTAAGGGCGCTCATTTGGCAACTTTAGTGAGACAAGGTGTTGCTTTTACAGAACAGGGAAAGCCTGGCAGTCCAGCAGAAGGCAGGGGCCCAGGAGCGGCGATGAGAAGGTACCTCGTGGCGGGAACTAGCCACAGCTCCGTGTCTACACAGTTCTCCCACAATATTGCGATGAATTCTCAGGGTCTACGGCTGGCCCCTCGTGTGGGCAGTCAGCACTTCCCATTGCAACGCCCACTCTTTGTCCTGCTGTGTGTAGAGGCAGTTAGGCCGTCGCGGAAATAACAGAGCTTTCTTTTGCACAAGTCACAGCATCCACCACCGGGACTGTGCCCTCCAGAGGTCTTTACAAATAGTTGATCGCAGGAGCTGGAGCCCCTGGCTACAGTCTCTCTTTCTATTTCTGAACGGGGTTCATAGGAGAGCCAGAGTGTAGCCATGCGGACACCCCCTTACTAATCGAAGTCGATTTCTGAGTCATAATGAAGAGTGCTCCGGAAGTTTTGACCTTTGGGGTATGACTGAAACTCCCACCGTTTGCAGATGCCAGATCACACCCAGTGGTTCTCAACCTGGGCTGCACATTAGAACCACCTGGGAATCTTTTTAAAATCCTGATTTCTGGGCCTCATCCTCCGGAAATGCTGTTTCTTTGTTATGGGGTGAGGCCACAACATGAGTAACAAAGAAACAGAATTTCCGGAGGATGAGGCCCAGAAATCAGGATTTTAAAAAGATTCCCAGGTGATGCTAATGTGCAGCCCAGGTTGAGAACCACTGCTCTGGACTCCAGGGAAGGTGCCGGCCAACGGGCAGGGGAGCGAGAACCACCTGTTTAGAATGAGAACAGCTCCGTGTCTTCAGTGCCTGCATTTGCCACAGGTGGTCCTTCTGTCATGTAACACTTCTCCGCGTTTGGAAGGACCCAACGTCTCCTCATGTCTGACCTCACTTTGTGCACAATTTTATTCAGTTTTATTTATAGATGTTTTGATAAAATATATTATAAATAGAAATGTCTTATACGCCTATCTACAGGTAGATGTCTATATATAGTGTATATTTTAGAATATCTGATATAGCTACAAGATGTTGATCTATAGAGACGTTATTGTAAGTATATCTTATGTGGATGTCTCCTGTTTGTGACTATTTTGAGAAAAAATGTTTTTGAGTAAAATTTCGATTTTTCAGAGCCCTCGACCCTCCCTGCGGCCTAGTCTCTCCCCTTTGCCCTGTTGTTGACGGACTCAGATTTATGTAAACCCCCAGGACTCACCGTCACTTTCTGCTCTGCTCACCCCGTGACACACGCCAACCCCAAGCAGCCGAGAGGCCATCACCCAGGCACACTCCTTCCCCCACTGGGCACGGAGCCCGCAACCCAAGCATGTGCCCTGACCGGGAATCAAACCCTGACCTCCTGGTTCGTAGGTCGACACTCAACCACCGAGCCACACTCCTTAGACCCGGCTCTCACAAACCCAAGGGGCTTGGAAGCGTGGTGTTTTCTCTTTGAAGGTAATCGAACATAAATGAAGGACAAGCTGCCCTTTGGAGAAATGGTTATGGGTGTCAGTATCATGTAGCCTTTTTGGTTTTCAGCCTCATTGGGAAAACGAGGCCCAGAGCGGGTGGGGTTTCTTTATGTCCCACCCACACCGTCTACAGGAAATGTAAGAGGCCCGGGAGCCACGGGAGCCGATAAACACGAGGGGCAGGAGTGGCAGTGAAAGTGGGAGACCCCCCCTCGGAGCCAGCCTGCCACCCGACACCCCAGGCTGCCTAGGACCCCGCCACGGGAAGACAGTGCTCACCAGGAAGCGAATGGTTTCCAGACGGAGTTTTTTTTATTTCTTACTAGAGGCCTGGTGCACGAAATTCATGCACGGGCAGGAGGGTTCCCCTCAGCCCAGCCTGCACCCTCTCCAATCCAGGACCCCTTGGGGGATGTCCAACTTCTGGTTTAGGCCTGATCCTGGGGACAGAGAACCATCAATGTGAGAAGCATCAATAGATTGCCTCCTCATGCACCTCGACCAGAGATCAAACCCACAATCTAGGTATGACCTGACTGGGAAATTGAACCTGTAACCTGGGGATCAGGCCTAAACCAGTAGTCAGACATCCCTCTCACAATCCTGGACTGCTGGCTCCTAATCGCTCACCTGCCTGCCTGCCTGGTCGCCTCTAACTGCCCCCCACACCAGCCTGATCGCCCCTCACTGTCTCTGTGTGTTGGCCAGGTTGCCCCCAACTGCCCCCTCCCTGTTGTCCTGGTCGCTCCTAACTGCCCGCGCCCCCCCCTGCTGGCCTGGTTGCCCCCAATTGTAGCCCCCCACTGGCCTGGTCACCGCTAACTGCCCTCCCTGCCAGCCTGGTCACCTGTTACTGCCCCCCTGCTAGCCTGGTCACCTCCAACTGCCCCCCTGCTGGCCTGGTCGCCCCTCATGGCTCCCCTGCTGGCCTGGTCACCCCACACAGCCTGCTGTTCAGTCGTTTGGTCATCCCTCACTAAACTGCCTAACAGGCTGGTCATAGACAGCCATCTTGTGAGGGTGTGATGGTTAATTTGCATATTACCTCTTTATTATATAAGATTGTTAATATATTTTTATAGATTTCAGAGAGGAAGGGAGAGGGAGAGAGAGAAACATCAATGATGAGAGAGAATCATGGATCAGCCTGTGCCCTGACCAGGATTTGAACTGTGACCTCCTGGTTCATAGTCGACGCTCAACCACTGAGCCACCCTGGCTGGGCAGGAAGAGAAATGATAAAAATCCTATTTCTTTCACCCTTGTACCCCGTTAGGTTCTGGGGCCTTCACAGTCCGTGGCAGGGTGGGCAGGTGCTGCTATAAACCCCCGTCAAGGGCATCGGGGCGTGACAGAGAGGAGAGAGGCCTGCACCCTGGCAGCCATTGTGACGCATCACAGAGGGTGACACAACAGAGGGCCCGGCACTCAGACCCGCTCACTCCAGTTTCCCCCTCAGCGGAGAAACACTGGGAAGCAAGACAGCGAGCCAGCCCAGCCACCATGCGCAGCCTCCTGGCTTCCACGCGATAAAGACGGGAAGCAGGTGGACGCTCTTCCTGCCGGCCCCGGTCCCCGGGATGAGCGGGAGGACGGAGCCCGCGCAGGGCCTGGCGGGAGAGGCCAGCAGCAGTGGCAGCGACAGCATCCAGGCTTTGGTCCAGGGGCGCGAGGGCCCCGCCGCCCGCAGCAGGTGCGTCGCTTTGCAGAACGCGTCCCGTCGGATCGGCGCTCCTGGGCAGTAGCCCAGTAGGAGCTTTTCTCCTTTTCCGTTTGCTCTCACAGCTCCTCGGGACCACAGACCCCGCTGTGGCGGCCTTGAGTCCCCGTGGCCGGCAAACCGGCTCGCGAGCCACAGGTGGCTCTTTGGCCCCTTGAGTGCGGCTCTTCCTAAGCCTTAGGAGCACCCTGATTAAGTTAATAACAGTGTACCTCCCTATAGAGTTTAAGTTTAAAAAATGTGGCTCTCAGAAGAAATTCCAGTCGTTGTCCTGTTGCTATTTGGCTCTGTGGACTGATGAGTTTGCCGACCACCGGCCTAGGCCAGACGTCCGGGTGAATCCGGCGGCTGGGACGGGGCCACGGAGGAGAAGCCCCTGCTTAAGAGAAGGAACCTCCTCTCCTTCGCTGACTGGCTATGTCACTAGCACAAGAGCAGGACCAGCGCCTTGTGAACAGACTAGAAACAGACTCACAGACAGCACAGACGGAAGCCGTCAGAGGGAGCGGGTGGGGCTGCACGAGAAGGTGGAGGGATGAAGCAGGACACCTGGGGAGGCAGGAGAGCCGCGACGCAGCCTGCAGCCCAGGGCACGGTCCCGGCACGAGGTGACGGTGTGGCCGGTGGGGGGCACAGTCCCAGGCCCAAGGTGATGGTGTGGCCGGTGGGGGGCGCGGTCCTGGCACGGGGTGACGGTGTGGCCGGTGGGGGGCGCGGTCCCGGCACGGGGTGACGGTGTGGCCGGGGGGGGGCACAGTCCCAGGCCCAAGGTGAGGGTGTGGGCCGGTGGGGGGCGCGGTCCCGGCACGGGGTGACGGTGTGGCCGGTGGGGGGCACAGTCCCAGGCCCAAGGTGACGGTGTGGCCGGTGGGGGGCACAGTCCCAGGCCCAAGGTGACGGTGTGGGCCGGTGGGGGGCGCGGTCCCGGCACGGGATGACGGTGTGGGCCGGTGGGGGGCGCGGTCCCGGCACGGGGTGACGGTGTGGCCGGTGGGGGGCGCGGTCCCGGCACGGGGTGACGGTGTGGCCGGTGGGGGAAGCAGCAGGGGCCGCTCTGAGCGGTGGTTTTCTAACCGCTGTGCCGCACACCGGAGACCGACAGGAAGCAAGACTGCTGAGAGGGCCTCTGACCGCTCACACGCCGCCTCCTCACCCCTCACCGTGCGCGGCCTGCGGTCTGCGGGGCTCAGCGGGGACTCCGGACACGGGGGCTTCTTTCCCACGCCCCTGCAGGGGACCTGACCGCACCGTGGTAAAGGCCACAGCTTGAGCCCACAGCTGTGGTTCGTCTCCTTAGAACAGGTGTGCAACCACCTGCCAGCAGGCAGCAGGGAGGCCCTGTGCCTCCCCCACCCCCAGCCCCTCTCCCTGCCCGCGCTGTTCTGCTGCTGGGAAGGCCAAAGTAATCATCCCCCCCGGCCCCCCCACACACGCACGAAGCCCCTGCCAGAAGCGCCCATGAAGTAAGAGGAGGGAGTGCTACCAAGTTGCTGTGAGAGCAAGTGTGGGAGTCCCCACGCAGGGAGGGAGGCCGAGTCCCCCAGGTGGGGCCAGGCACAGGTGGCTTTGCAAGGCCCCGCCTGCACCAGGGTTTACACCGACACTTAGTGAGCCTGGGCCCAGCCTCGGTGGCTCAGGGGTTGAGCGTTGACCTATGAGCCAGGAGGTCACGGTCTATTCCCTGTCAGGGCACAGGCCCAGGTTGTGGGCTTGATCCCCAGTGTGGGGTGTGCAGGAGGCAGCTGATCAGTGATTCTCGCTCATCATTGATGTTTCATTCTCTCTCTCCCTCTCCTTCCTCTCTAAAATCGATAAAAAAAATTTTTTTTTTAAAAAAGAAACTTCATGAATCTTGGTGGATATGGTGCCATTGGATACCATCCTGGAAAGGATTTTCTCTCAATTCCAAAGACAGTGGATTAGGCATTAAGTCACAAAGGCAGCCCCACAAGCGCCTCTGCTGACTTGGGGGAGGGTTCGATGGACGCGTCCTAGGGACCCTGTGGAATTCCTCCCGCTGTGTTTATTCTTTCCAGGCTGACGCGGTCGTGGAAGGTTGTCCTGAGTGTGGTGCTGGCACTGACTCTCCTCCTCGTCGGTAAGCCTCCCTAAGCCATGGTCCTCAGGCCACTTCAGGGCGTCTGTGTGAGGAGACCACGGCGGGAGGACCACGTAAATGACACGGAAATCGCCGGAAGTGGCTGCACACGTCTGAAGCTTTTTTTAAAAATTATTTTTAATTGTGAAAGCAGGGGGTTTTTTCTTCTCTTTTCTTTTTATATATATCTTTATCAGTTTCGGAGAGGAAGGGAGAGAGAAACATCAATGATGAGGGAGAATCATTGATCGGCTACCTCCTGCACACCCCCTACTGGGGATCGATCCCGCAACCCAGGTATGTGCCCTTGACGGGAATTGAACCCGTACCCTTCAATCTGCAGGCCAACGCTCTATACACTGAGCTAAACCGGCTAGGGCAGCAGTTCTCAACCTGTGGGTCGCGACCCCTTTGGGGGTCGAACGACCCTTTCACAGGGGTTTCCTAAGACCATCAGAAAGCACATATATAATTACATTACGATTCATAACAGTAGCAAAATTACAGTGATGAAGTAGCAACGAAAATAATTTTATGGTTGGGGGTCATAACATGAGGAACTGTATTAAAGGGTCGCGGCATCAGGAAGGTTGAGAACCACTGGGCTAGAGCAAAGCAGACTTCTTTATTGAAAACTTAGAAAGCACTTTTTTTTTCTCTTAAGATCATGGTTTAAAAACAGAAATTGCTTTAACATTAAAACTTGACATTTTTATTGCAGACACATACCATTGACCTTTTCTAACTCTGAGTGACTCCGCAAAGACTATCACTCATCACAGGATTTTGGACAAAATGGCCGTGAACGGTCGGCGAGCAGTTTTCTGAGTGTCTGTATCGCACCCCCCACCTCCACCCCCACTTCATCCGCACCCCACCCTCACCCCCATACACTGGGAAATTGCTCTTCAATTTATGGACCACGGGAAGAGAGGATGCCCATGGAAACCAAGGCTTCCACCCAGTTACTGCCAGGAAATGCCACCCGATAACTGGGCAGCACTCGAGGTGCTGTTTGCTGGGACTGCAAGCACAGGGGTCTCTGGGGTCTTTTCTGAGCATGCGCATGGCACCCCTTTTCCTTCTCACGCCCTCTGCCTCCTCCCTCCAAGCTTTCCTGTCTGTCTGCCACTCCCTCATTCTCTGTCCCCTGCCTGGGTGGGCATAGCCAGTTTATGACTCGAAATCTTTCAACAGACATTGCGGCCTCCCAGAAAGCCATTCTGGCCCAAGGGAGCGGGGAAACCAAAGGCCAGCCTCTAACCAGCTGGCCAGGGGGCACTGCCAGCTCCCAGCTCAGTCACCGCCGTTTAAGAACAAGGTCTGGCCTGGCCGGTGTGGCTCAGTGGTTGAGTGTCGACCTATGAACCGGGAGGTCAGGGTTTGATTCCCTGGCAGGGCACGTGCCCGGGTTGCGGGCTTGATCCCCAGTGTGGGGCGTGCAGGAGGCAGCCCATCCATGATTCTCTCTCATCATTGATGGTTCTCTCTCTCTCTCCCTCTCCCTTCCTCTCTGACATCAATCAAAATATATTTAAAACAAAACAGAACAAGGTCAGTGTCGCCTGCTGACACCAGCAGCTGAACCCGGGGCCCCGCCTCCCCGTGGCTGTGGGAGGAGGCAGGCAGGCGAGCAGAAAGGCTGTCATCCTCCCCACAGGGCCTGCCCTTTCCCTCAGCCCTGGGTGCGCTGTGGCGTTTGGATTTGACATCAGAATTCCCAGAGCGTCGATCCTGGTCCGCTTGGCTGGCTGGGAGGGGGGACCAGGTTTTCAGCACCTTGTGTTGTCCGTCGCCCAAGGGTCTGTGCTCCTCCGAGCGGAGAGAGCCCTGCTGATGCGTGTAAAGCGCCGCGCCGTGTTCCTGGCACCCCCCCCCCCGCCCCCACCCACCGACCGGTCTTCCCGCACAGGGTTCCGGAGCCACGTGTGGCCGAGAGGACACTCCACCCAGAAGCCCCGGCGGCTCTACACTGTGATCGCGGAATACGGCTCCCGGCTCTCCAACTACCAGGTGATGCTGGCTAGATCATGGGAGTCGCTCACTGAGGCTGGATTGCTACAGGGCGAGTGTAGGTGCGAGGTCCTCCGTGTTTGCACGTGGCATCTCGTGGAGATAAAGCGGGACCAGAGTCTGTTCAGTGGTTCCCCCCAGGCAGTGGCTCTCAGGAGGAGGGGTCCCTCTGGCCTTCACTCCTGAGCTCTGTGCCCGCCCCCCACCCCCAACCCGCCCAGAGGCTGATGGTGGCTCTTTCTATAATCTCTTCAACGATGCATAACAGCGTTTTATGGCTGACTAAGAACACCATAAATCATGTACTCAGCTCTGACTAGTGTTGCTCAATGGTTAGAGTATTGTCCTGCACACTGGTGGGTCATGGGTTTGATTCCCTGTCAAGGTCAAGTACCTGGGTTACAGGTTCAATCCCTGGCCCTGTTGGGGTGCATGCAGTAAGCAACCAGTAGATGTGTGTCTCTCGTGTCGATGTCTCTCTCCTCCTCACCCCCTCCCTCCCACTGTCTCTAAAAGCCAATGGGAAAATACCCTCGTGTGGGGATTAGCAAATACAAACAAACAGAAACAATGCGTTCAACACAGACTTCCACACGTTGGATTGTTTGCAATTTTCCAACATTATAAACATAAACGCCACTGGGCTCAGTCTTTCCACCATCCTCGATTGTTCACTTGGGATCAGTTCCTAAGAGAACAGTCACCGTCTCCAGGTGACCCTTGAGCCGGCATCGCCGTGACTTCATGCCGCTTCCACAGCCGGCTTCCACCTCCCCGTGTGCCACGGCTACAACGTGGCACCGGAGGGCTGGACGCACAGTGGGTGCCTGCTCACTGACCTCAAAGTGACCCCTTAGTGACCCCTTAGTGAGAAGACCACTAAACGCACGTGTGGGCGAGGAGGCCGGCTCAGGACGACTGGGGACACCACGCGTGTGAGCGCAGCATGCTGTCTGCTCTGGACCCGAAATTCACACCAGACGTTCAGAGCCCGGCCCGCGGTCTGAGCTGTGGGCAGCGTATGTGGAGGACACAGCCTGCTGTCACACAGGGCGCGGCCTCAGCCACCACATCATCACGGTCACGGCCAACGAGGAGCTGAGGACCCATGATCACAAAGCACTTGCTGCCAGCAGGGCATTGGTTGGCAGCGAAACCCTGCCTGGAGCAGCCATCATTTCCCCAGGGGCAGCCCTGCCACGGCTAGATTCCCAGAAGTGATCTGGTTTAACTTGAGGTATCGGGTCTGGCCAGTGTGGCTCAGTAGTAGAGCGCAGGGTTGCGGGTTTGATTCCCAGGCTCCAGTCAGGCCTGAGTGGGAGGCAACCAATCGATGTCTCTCTCTCACATGTTTCTCCCCCTCTCCCCCTCTCTGCCTGCCACTCTCTCTAACAATCAATGGAAAAAATATCCTTGGGTGAGGATTAACCAACCAACCAACCAACAAAGAGCAATCCTTGGGGTTTTGGGAGGAACAGGCGGGATTCAGATGCTTTCTTTTTCCAGGCCCAACGTCAGATGCCCAAGGAGCAGCGGGAACTCTTCAAGTGAGTGAGGCGCTCAGACATGTGGGCCTGTCCACTGTGGCTCCCAATACTGACGTGTTTTTGTAAAATTAGAAAACGATCGTCATTTCTGCTTCTGTAGATAATTGTTTCACAACGGAGGTGCCTTCAGTATCATTTACGATTCAGACAGTGGAAAGATAAGGAACCCGGCCGTGGGGGAATAAGTGACAGCCCACCCAGCCCCAGGGAGCCACGGGAATATCTGAAACAGACAATGATTGGGGAGGTGCCTGGGACACAAAATTGTAACGATGGTCTCCATTCTGTTGTATAGAATGACACTTGCACACGCACTAAAGTGCCACAGTGCTTATCTCTCCAAAGGTTTTGCATTTTCCAAATTGGGAACATGCGTTGTTCTACAAATTGGAAAAGCAATAGGAGATTTGTGTTTACCTTTTCTCCATAAGAGAAATACCTATGGGCTTGACATGACCAGGAATTTTCAGACGGTAAAGGTAGCAGAACCCCTTTGCTAAGGGAAAATCTGGCCCCGGGCTGGGCCCTCCTC